TGCTAGTTTTAACTAAATTTGACAAAACTTCTTATGACTTCTCTACCATAGGACTTGTAGAGTGATGAAAACAAATCAACGGTTCACTTTTCTCTTCAAAACCATCCGCATCCACAAATCAATTCAATTGATATTTTTCCCTCCTTTCTTTTTACTCTTAGTTATCCAAACAGATTGTATTATATAAAATTAAAATATAAAAAAAAATAAAAAATTACTTACTTACCAAGGAAGTAAAAATTGTACAAATTAATTAACCTAAAGTGAACAAAAGATTGCCAAGAGCTACCCTAGTGATCTCCTTTATACTTATCAAATTGTGAAGAAAAAGAAAATACTAACAATATGCATATGAATTACTAGTATTTATTTATTTATTTATTAATCACTTAAATGTATGATCTGATCTTTAATCATTTCCCTTTCCTTTGTTCTTTGAATTCAAGCTGCTAATGTTGCAACACCAGTGTTTCCCTTTCCTTTGTTCTTTGAATTCAAGCTGCTAATTTGCATAAAAACGCTAAGATAATAACATATAGAAACTCCAGTTCTTAGGGCTTTAGTGCATGATAAAAATATGGTTAGAAAAAGGCAAAAATATATAGGACATTAATGATATGCTATTATAAATATTTCAATAATTGTAATTGGTGTCATCGGTTTTTATTCCGAACTATAACACGTACTTTGTTTCAATTACACTATTATAATATTTAATTTAAAGTTGTTGCAGTGGCTCTGAATAGCTATATATATACTAGTAAAGAATAATAATTTTTTTTTTTAAATTTTTTATGGATTAGTTCTGTTTTATTTATTTTAAAGAAGAGGTTGAGAGTTTGAAATTATTTATATTTAATTTTTTTATTATTATTATTTTCCAATTATAAAGTACTTTATAAGAAAAAGTAAAATGTATGTCTAGAGTTATTAATTAATATCTCCTTATTCTATGTAATTTTATTGTATTTAAAACACTCAAATTGAGTGATTTTGAAGTTGAAATAAAAATTGTATATATTGCGGAGCAACTGAATGGAATTAATACACAAATAAATATAGTGAATATGTCTACATTTTACTTGAACTTTTGAAAGGAAAAAAAAAAAAATTGAGTTCAAATTTCTTTGAGTGACCTAATTACGTTTTACCCCTCATTCTAGTATCATCATTTTGAGTAGAGAATAAAATGATAGGCATCTCAAAAAGAGAGATTGATATCTGAGATATAAAATTAATCTCAAAAAGGGAGGTTGATATCTGAGATATAAAATTAACCCTTAATTATCACCATATATATTATCATGTTGGGTCTGTTTAGGGTTTAAGAGTTAACTCACGAAAACAGAGGGTTAAGAGACAGAGAGATAACACAGTGAGCAACAGAGAGAGAGATTGAGAAAACAGAGAGTGAACCTTAAGAAATTAAGAGAGGGGTTCAAGGAGGAGTTCTGGGTTGAACCAAGAACACCGGAGGAGTGGAACGGCAGTGTAAAACGTTGACGGAAAAAACTCAGAGACGATAGTTTGGGTTTCAAAACTAAAACTCAAGGCAAGTTCTGTTATATTCTATCCCTTTAATCTGTGTTCTGTGCATGCTTAGGAAGACTCCAGGGATTAAACTAAGGCTTAAATACATCTTTTATGCATGTTTAACCAATGTTTAAATTGATGAAATAAATCTGTTCTTAGTTGCTTTAAAATTTTAACTTGGAATCTTGCTACCGTTGCTGAACAACTTGTGTGTCAACTTAAGTTTTGATTGTATATTCTTGTCTTATGATCAATTTGGAACTGGGATGGACTTTACAACATGTAATAAAATTAACCCTTAATTATCACCATAATATATCACGTTCTAGCTAGTGTGACTAGAAAGAGTGAAGAAAAAGTTAGCTAGCAAGAAATATATATATATATATATATATATATATATATATATATATATATAATTAATCCATTTTAAATAATGTCACTAACTCTTCTTTTCTTTTTTCCTGACTTCCCTTTAGAAAGTAGGAGCCCTATACCGCTAAGCCACAGGCCTGTTGGTATCACTATCTCTTCTTCAACTGTCTTATCTCAATTTAACCAACTCACTTTCTCATATTACTTTTGAAAACTGACCCTCGCATAGTTTCAATTACCATTAATAATAAATTAAAAAAAAAATTCCCTCTTTCTTCTCACTCTGCTACACAGACTCACAACACATTATGGTTATCTACACATGATATTGGTTCTTTCCCTATCTTGTGTAAGACAATATTTTATATATATATATTTCTTATTTTATCTTTTCACATATGATATGGTATGAATTTCTATTTATTTAATAATTTAAATACATCATTATTCATTAATTAGTAAAACATACAGTAACCATGCCTTTTAAAATAAAGAACTGAATTAAATATCTATAAATAGGTCATTACTTATGCTAAATGATGTTTGAAAATTCAATAAACTTCACAAAAAAGATATTTTTAATGAATTATGTTGTAAGAAGTAGCACATCCACAATTATTTTATCTTACAAAAAAAATTCACAACTACGTATAAACAAACAGATCCAGGGGCTTTCTCTTGCCATCTTTGGCAGTATACACAAACAATTAATAATAACTTCACTAATCCAACTGTATACACAAACTTAAAATTGACCATTATTTATCACCATGATATGTCACCTCCTAGCTAGTGTGACTATGAAGGGTGAAGAAAAAGACAGATAAAAAGAAATATATCAGCTAGCATTTATTAATCCAACAAACAGCATACACAAACAATTAATAATAACTTAATTAATAACAAGAAACAGATCTAGGGACTTTCCCTTGCCATCTTTGGCAGTATACATAAACAATTAATAATAACTTCACTAATCCAACTGTATATACAAACTTAAAATTGACCATTATTTATCACCATGATATGTCATGTCCTAATTAGTCTGACCATGAAGGGTGAAGAAAAAGACAGATAACAAGAAATATACTGACTAGTATTTATTAATCCAACAAACAGCATACACAATTAATAAATTGTATCATTAATCCGAGTATTAGAATTGAAAAGACGTGGTGACTTGGGTAGTAGTTAACATGGATTGTCAACTGCCCTAGTCCTCTTTATAAGCCATGTTATATATTGCATATGGCATTGTGTGTGTGAGTCTCATTTGGTCTATGTCAAATTTAGTTAATTATATGAAATTAGTTTGGAAGTTTAATATCATATGTATTTGATCTACAGAACACCATTTCAAAGTATTTATACCTTTTATTCTCATTATCCCTGCATTACGTAATTACCATTAATATTTGTGCACATGATATTCTTGACAATGTAAGATCATTATTAATTTTTGGAAAAAAAAAAAAAAAAAAAAAAAAAACGAAGATCATTATCAGTATTATTATTAATTTTTTTTGCTCTTTCTTCTCACTCAACTACTCCAGTCTGTCTATATATATATATATATATATAAATATAAATATAGATAGACTAATACTGGTAGGTAGACATGATATTTTTGACAATGAAATAAAAGACAGGTCGAACCAATAAATAAACTCTACCCATTTTAATCCATATTAACAACTTTAATATTAACAACTACTTCATTATTATATCAATATACTAATTTTAACTAAATTTAACAAAACTTCTTACTTCTCTACCATAAGGCTTGTAGAGTAATGAAAACAAATCATTCGTTCACCTTTCTCTTCAAAACCATCCACATCAACAAATTCTATTGATATTTAGACCTCAATCCTCATAAGATAATATAGACTAAAAATAGAGCCATTGATAAATTGTACATGCTAGAGTGGGCATTTAATTTAAGGGGCCACAAAGTTTAGAACATGGGTTGGCCCACCATTTCCACCATATACTTACTACTAATATGTGATACATTGAGAAAATTAAAATATATTTGTAGGAAATTCTGTCAACACAAGAAGGCTATTGTTGTTGGTGTGGTTGTTGAAGTGTTTAGTAATAAAACTAGGGCCATTGATAGTGTACCAATTTTGGCATACTACTCTAGCCCTAATCAGTAACAGCTTATTAGTTTCATTATAACTCCCCACTTTTCTGGAATAAAATGAGAAAAATTCACCATATCAAATAGTATTCAATATAACAGGAAATTTAGAAGGACGATAAGGATAATAAATCATTTTTATTTCTCGTCACTTTTGTATCTTTGTTGTAATGAATCATATATCATTTTTATTACTCTTTATCACTTTCGTATCTTTATTATAATGAATCATATGTAAACCCTTTATAAATAAGTGTGTGAGCAAAGAATACTTTCTTTAAAAATTTTGTTAATTATTTATCTTTCTTAAAATACTCATTGATTGACATATTATTAAAAAAAAATAATAATATAGACCATTTACCAAATTAATATTGACATATTATCTTTCCTTAGATTCTTTATGATTTAAGGTTTTCTTTCATCATAAAATACATGTAATAATCACCTATTCAATTATCAATAACATTTCAATTTTTTTTTTGCGAATTTATCTCTTAATATTATAAATTCAAAGTTGTTTATGATTCCTTCAGATTTGTGATCAAACCCTCTAGGGTGTGTTCAATTCCCCTCTTCTAGGATTTTAGTTCAATTATTTTTTCTCCTTTAGTTTTAGTTGTTCAGATTTATATTGAATCATATGTATACCCTTTATGAATAAGTGTGTGAGTAAAGAATACTTCCTTTAAAAATTTTGTTAAATATTTACCTTTATTGATTGCCGGTACTTCTGGAACGTGTGGACAGAAAATCTGTTTGAGGTTAAAGTTCAGATGGTGTGTTCAATTCCCCTCCTCTAGGATTTTAGTTCAATTATTTTATTTCAGGGTTAAGTGCAAAAAATACCCTGTATTTTTAAAATAACACTCATGTTGTTCAAACGTCAACTTCTAATTTTAAAAAGTTGCAAATAAAGACCTTTTGTAATAAGGATAGGTAAAAATATGAAAATACTCCCAATATTCTTTATTCAATAATAATAAAAAAATTGAATAAGTTGAAATTACCCAAATAAACATTGACCTAAGTCATTTTGGGAAATAAAACACAGTGCACGAGCTTCGAGCATTGCAGAGCCTGTGCGCCATTGTTTTGCTCTGTTTTGCCTCACTGTTTACCACTTTGTAATTAGATGAATCACAGGACTCCGCATCTGGGGAGGAGAGAGAGACTCTCTCTCTAGTTTGTTGGATAGCTTCGTTCTCTTTCGCGATTCTCTACCACACTTCCATCTCCAGCTCCTGCCTTCTCAAGCACTCCTCGAGCTCCATTGTCCTCTTCTTCGCAGTCACCAAGTCTTCCTCTTTCTCCCACATAAAACCCATCGTTTTCGCTTTCGCTTCAGCAAAACCCAATTTGTTGCCTTGTTTCTTCCTGAAGAGTTGTCCTCAGTCTCTCACTCTGTTTCACCGTATTCATCACAAGTCAAGAAAAACCCAGAAATGAAATCATTATATAAATCCAAAATCAAACATGTGTGTGGAAATATGAATCTATATTATGAAATCCCATTTGGGATTTTGTTCGAATCTGACCTGTAGACGAAGAATCCAGTCGATTTCTTGCCTCTGCTTCTCGAGCTCGGCAGCCAAAGACAGAAAACTCCATTGTTGGATGGTTATGATCAACACTCGATGAGCAAGAAGCCCCTTGATTATTATTATTACTATTGAAACCAATAGATTGAAACACTTACTGTTGTGGGTGTTCTTGAAAATTGAAATTAGCTCCATCTTCAATCCCCAAAACAGAGCTCGTAAGCCAACCCAGATTTTCAAAATACAACTGTGCCTGAACAGCCATCTCTAACTGCTACAAAACCCAAGAAATCAAATGAATAACACAGAGAGAGCAAAAAGCTTGCTTCTCTCCTAAATGGATGAGAAATGGGATAGGTGTAAAAGTAGAAGGCTCTTATCAGAGGAGACGCATGATCTCTCTCTCTCTAAAACTTCCTCTTTTTCTCTCTCTAAACTCCTCTCTAAAACTTCCTCTCTTTCTCTCACTTGCGGCATCAAATTTTCTTCAAACCCTCACAACCATCGCAACCACTGTGTATTCCGGCGAAACAACCACACCAAGTGTCTCACGATCGGCGGCGGTGAGTTTGATACAGTGGAAACAACCCTTGGTTCACGATGGCGGCGTGGTTCAGACCACGAAACGGCAACATGATTCACATCGGCGGCATGGTTCAGCTTGCGACACCTGCAATCTTTGGCGTGATCCAACTCTTCCATCGTTGTCGCAACGATAAACAAATCGATTTACACCTGCCATCGTCGCTTGATCAAGATCTTCACCAAACTCGCCCAAATCTGAACTCCCAGGAACCCTATTTTAATAGGAGTATCAATCATCTCCCACAACCATAATTCGGCTGTGATCTAAACTCTTTCATGAAGAGGATCGAACCTGTCGGTCACCTTACTTCGAAAATCGCCTCCCACCGTTGATGTCCCAAAAAAAAAAAAAAACAGACGATCTTCCTCAACCTGGACGAGACTTTGGTTCACTCCACGCCGGAAAAATACAATTTCATTGTCGGCCGACATGACAATGTATATAGAGTATGTAAAGTTGATGTGGAAAGATTATTGATGAGGTGTAATTTTTCTGGACAGACGGATGGCTAGGATTGTCTGGGACTATAGATGACGTGGTGCACCGGGACTACCTAATAATCTCATTGAGGGGTAGTTTGGGAAGTCTAAAAGGGCAATGTTGGTATTTAAGAGTATTTTTTTGGTCACATGACATGCACATGTCGCTTTTTGGGAGTCAGAAACCTTTATTTGCTCACTTTTCATATTAGGGGAGTCTGATTTGAACACAAAGGGTGTTATTTGCATGTTTTTCAAACCAGAGAGATGTTTTTTGCACTTACCTCTTTTATTCCCTTTAATTTTAGATGTTTGGATTTATAATCAATTGTTCTAGGATTTTAACTACGTTTTTTCTCCTTATATTTTACTTGATTTGGATTCTAAAGAATTGCAATTTGTTAAAATAAAAAAATAAAAAAAATTAGGTAGCTGCATTTGAGAGCACTAAATTAGTGCTTTGAATTTTAAATTTAAAAAAATTTAATTTAAAAATTTGATTAAATTTCTTCTAATTCTGAAAATAACTCTTCCAAACATAATATTTTTGATTTTTTAATTTAGTTGAGAGCTCAATAATTAAAAGGCTGTTCCAGGGTCAATAAATAACTTGTTATAGGCCCACAGACCAACCCCAGAAAATAAGAGCCCACGGTTGAGGAAGAAGGGCACGTATGCGGGGTGTGTCAGGATGAGATGGAGGTCGAGAAAGAAGCTAGTGCCATGGGCTGCATGCACCAGTTCCATGGACCCTGTATTTACAAGTGGCTTAAACACGCCAATGCTTGTCCACTTTGCAGCTTGTCCGCTTTGCAGGAACACAATGCAATCATAATATGAATATGAGGTGTTGGTTGTTTTCTCTGGATTTAATTTTGATTCATAATACACAAGAAAGATATGGAGACTATGAGGTTACAAAGAAAATTTAGAACTATTGTAATTTCCTTTAAGATATTGAATCTATATCTTCTACCATATCTATCTAGATATGCTACTATCTAGATACGGACGGATATAGAAACTATTTTATGGCTGTACTTTTTTAATCTACTCGCGGAGAAAGCAAACCTAACAATACTCAAAGTTTCACATTAAAACTTTTTATGCATAAAAATGATTTTCAGATTCATTGCTTTTTTCCCAAAATCAAAATGTCCAGGGCCCACTAATTCATATTTTTCTCAGCCAAAAAGTACAACGTTGAAATTTGCTTTTTTTGGTTAATCGGAATGTCCAGGGCAAATGGACATTGAATCTGCACCATCAAATACTTTTTTACTAATGATATACGGAGTATATATATTTTTTGTGAATTCAAATGAATTAATTGAACAGTAAGGAAATGGAAGAAATGGTCCTACAATGAATACATAGACAGATCTAACTACTACTTTGCAAGCAGTTGAGGTAAGATGTCATCCGTTGCTAACCAACCACGGAAACCTCTTGCCATTGATTAACATAAAATCAATCTCTAGGAGCTGTGGCTCTCGGCTGTGACAACATACGTTGGAAGAAAAAATACATATATAACATTATTCCTTAAGTTGGAAGAGTTACGCATATGGAATTCCTTTACCCTTAATAGCTCTGCAGATTTGAGACTTTATGCCGAATGCTGTTTTGGACACGGTCCACATCTTCGTTGGCTAACAACCTTCAAAGAGCATCCTTGCAGATCTAAATCAGGGTAAGTCACTTCCGCAAAGACATCACCAAGGCTCAAGCCATCTACCATAACATGATCTATCTCGCCATTCTATACCTAACTATCGAAAAATAAACCCATCACGTGTCCAGAGAGTAGAAGAAATTTCAAAACAGGGCTAGGATTGTATGTTCAAGCCAAATGCAGGGCAAAAATTTATCTGGAGCTGAGAGAAAGCTAAGCAAGACATCAGTTACTCTACATGGCATGTCTATCTGAAGATAAATTTGATCACGCATCTTATTATTTTCAGGAACTTGCAGCTAAGCTTGAGACAGAACAGTAGCATCCATGCTTCCCCAAGTGCATGTGTGCGTAAATACTGAATTCAATAAAAGAAATGAAGTAGGCACAACGTATTCCATATTAGTTGGCTTCTAAGTAGGCATGATTTGTATTTATATTCTATGAATGCACACAAGAAATCAATGATTCTTATCGTACTAAATATGCATATGGCCAACTCATCATTAGTTCCAGTACATCAAGACCTAAAACTCAATCAATCCAATGCACAATAGTAAGATTGAAACTTAAAAAATTAAATGCATGAATTGCATAGAATTTTAAAATATGCACATTAGAAAGGAAAACTTTTATATCTTGTCAAAATTAAGAAAAAAATAATTTTATAATTGTCTAGAATAAACCACAGATTCATTGGTTAGGCCCACTGAAACTACCTAAATGGCCTTCACCCATCATACCAATCAGTTCTTTTCATTCCCTGTTAACACCTACTTTGCATATTATATATCGAAAGAGATCAAACGGCCAGAAATATTATGTTTATAATGGTATGTTCAATGCAATCAGTGTAGATGGTGAACTCCAAGCGACTTCAAAGTATTTATAATGTTGTGTTCTCAAGCATATTTTGCCAGTACCATCATAAGTGGTGATATATCTCTATATATCATAGAACTGATATTGCCACACACACAAAAACAAAAACAAAAACACAAACCAAGCAACTTCAAAGTATTTATAATGTTAGGTATGTTCTCAAGCATATTTTGCCAGTACCATCATAAGTGGTGATATATCTCTATATATCATAGAACTGATATTGCCACACACATACAAAAACAAAAACAAAAACAAAATTTAAACCTAAATCTATTGAAAGACATGTTCACTTTCTGTTCAGCCAAAAAGAAAACATAATTTAAACTTAAATCTATTGAAAGATACTACATATCAGAGAGGGAGAGTCTTAATGATTCGAAGAGATGAAATACATGAATTGACGAGGATTTCATCAACGGAAAACTAAAATCATTCCAAATAAATTTGTGAATGATTCACAGGTAATATATATGTATATATGTCTATATATATGAAACCTAATAAATACACTGAGCGAGAGAGATGTATACCTAGTTGTTCTGTAGTAATTGATCTGATCGATGAAACTGAAATCATTTCTGAACGAAACATCTTCCCACTGTTTTGTGAAAACTGTTTGGGTTTAGAGGTATGCCACTATCAAGCAGAATACTATATCACAAGAGAAATGTACTAAATTTCAACAGCAATTCTTAAACATATTTTCAAGCTCTAACCTAACCTTGTTAAAATATTTCGTGGTAGGTGGTGTCACTTCTACATCATTTGACTTCCGAGATACTGGTTAAAATTAAGAGGCCAACTTACAAAAGTTCACCTAATTGTATCGATCATAATGTTATAATAGTTGATCCCAAGATAATATCTTAAGATGAAAGTTTGGGATTGATTTTCAATTTATGAAGCATGCAACTCAAACCACAGTCAGATCACGAACCGCGTGTTCTTATTTAACAGGTTAACCTTGGGATTATTTATGTATTAGAAAGGTCAAAGCTCATCTCAGCTTTAACTAACCACGAGCAGGATCTAATTAATTTATTCTCACAATTAGTATATATATATATATACATATATATAGCTTGTGAGTAGCAGGCCAAAATTGATTAATAATGAATGCAACATTACTCACAAGGTGTATATAGATGTAAGAAACATTTTGACAGATAGAGTTTTGAATAGAGCTAGGTAGAAATTTCTTTATATGATACTCTCAAACACTCGGTTGTTTAATAGATGACAATGACTCGCTAACATGTTTAGACTCCTTCCTTGATATTGTCTTAATCAGATATTGTCTCTATATGAGACTAAAATTCCACGCTAATTCCATACAAATAAACACTCGGTTGGAACCTAATTGCCCGGTAAGTTTGACTAAATCAACCACTCGTACAATGCCATATGCAGTATATAAAATGGTTATAAGGAAGACTTGGGCAGTTGATAAACCCATGTTAACCACCCAACTATAAAGCTTAACAGTTGGAATTAATGAGATTATTCACTGTGCGTGTATAATGTCAAAGATGGCGAGTGGAAAGCCCTTGGCTCCATTTGCCTCAATGTGCATTGTCTTTGTGGTGATGGTGTTGATGGGCATATGTGAAGGGGCACATGCACCTGTACCTGCACCTGCTCCATCTGTTACTAGCGGTGAAGGTGGTGGCAGCACCTCTGCTGCTGCTGCCGCCGCCTTCTTCCCTCACTGGTTCATCTCCACACTATTTGCTTGCTTAACCGTAGTGTTACCATTTTTCCTGTCTTTCTTTTTTTAGCTTTTTGTGCGTTTATATGTTCCGATTCTGCTGTTGTGCTGTTTTTTGTTGTAAAGGCAGGGGTGGAACTGCTGGTTCAGAGAGGTCATGGTGTGATTGGGTTTTTCTTAGTCTGATGATTGCTTTCTCTTGTAATAAATTCTCATCTGTTATTTCTTTTGTAATACATTTTTTTTTTTTTTTTACTATAGTGGAATATATTTGTGACGTTTGTTCTTGAATAAAAAAAAGGTACATCTGAATTTAAACAAGTGAAAGTTCTTACTTCTTGCTGCTTTGGTAAATAAGAAAAATATACCAAAAGAAAAATATCCAGAAACTGTGAAACATATCCACATTATGCTTATTAATACACTTGAATAGCCAACAATGAGTTGTTTCTAAACTCTAACACACTGGCGTCCAGATGAATGTTGTGCAAGTGCGTGGAGGTCTTTTATTTTGTCTCTGAGAGGTTGAAATTGAGCTTCAATTTATGGCAGGGTATATAAAAGCAAATGTGAGAGGCAAAAATAAAATTAAAAAAAATGCGTCTAAGAACCATATGTACGTGGTGGTGGTAAGGTGAGCTTTAGATCAAAAGTAAGTTTGTTTTTGAATGTGAGAAGTTAGGTCAGTCCCTTAAATCACCATTTGGTACTAGAATACATGACCAATTTGTAGAAACGGTAGTTGCATAAGAGATCCAAAACCTCTGTGCTAAGGTAGTGTTCCTCTCAGTCCAAATGTCAAACAAAACAATAGAGAACAATTTCCTACCAGTTTGATCTGCTTGTTTGAGCACTGGAGTTGAAGCTGCACAAAATCCTTAAGGACAAAAGCTGAACAAAAGAATTACAAACGGGCATCTGCATATTCAAAAAGGATGAGATCGAGCAAGTTCTGAATAGCAGAGAAAGGAGCTAGCAAGACACAAACATATGGTCGTCTATGTCATCACCTCATAACAGTGGTTTTAAGTGTTTGTTCTCAAAGAAAGTCTCATGGTAAATTTCTATAGCTCCTTGTAAACATCTTACACTAATGTATGACACTTAAAACATAACAAGAATGCATTGACAAGGCACTCGAACCAACTCTTAAGTTGTTAATATCTCATGCCGTTGGTCTCAAAATTGTATAAATTATATACGTAAAGGGAGTTTAGGTCAAATTGTTAGTTAAGGGAGGTTTTGTGCCAATTTCAAATAGTCGAGGTTTTTTTTTTTTTTTTGGTGGCAATTTGCTCTTAAAATTAAAATTTATGTTCATCTTTTTCCTAGTACTAGTATAGGTGCACATGAAAACTGACTGTTTCAATCTATAAAAGCCTATACAAGAAATATTACAATCTTGTGGAAACTGTATCAGGTTACACAATTGACCTGAACGAATAGATCTTTACAGAACTCATTGTCTGTTGTGGGCTTGATGCCAGACAATGCTTAAAAAGTATTCAAATATTTACTGAAAAGAATGCAAAATTTAAACGTAGCAATGGCCTAGCATTTTTAAGTGACTGACATGCAACTTTCTTCACTAGTTTGTTACCTTGCAACAGTTTTTTTAAAAATAAAAATCATCCATAAATATCACATATAGGCATGACCATATATGTACAACCAATACCACTACTAATATAAGAAATCCTCCACATGTTGAATAAGTACACTTTATGTTTGATTGAGCCAAAAATATTTGTCTACAGATGAAATTTTCTTCAATGAGTTCTTTATTATTCACCTATCGTGCATCGATGTGTATGATTATTATGGATGTGTATGATTGTGTGATTGATCATGATATTCTCACTATGTATCATAAAGAAGGGAGGAATCAACGGTTAACAGACAAGTGATAACTTGAGAATACAAATCAAAAGAAATTGTGATCAGCTAAGAAAAGTCAATAGTTTCAAATGCTTATAATAGACCAACTGATGAGACAAAAGGAATAAAGCAATAAAATTTGGTTTATCACCAATAAACAAGAATGATAAAATAGCATGCCATTCAACTTTACTAGATGAGAAATAAACGAAAAATATCAAAATCCTCATCATCAGGAAAGTCTGACCTTTCAACTTCAACTGTTTTAGAAAAGTTACAAATTTGATCTGCATCAGACAAGTAATCTTGTTTTAGAAACCCATCTTTGCCCCTGATTGCGACCAGGCTGTCCCTATAGACGAAGGACGCATACCAATTCTTGGATCCAAAATCCTTAATTTCACACGTGTGTGGATCATATAAGGCCACATGACCATCTACATCAGTTTGGATAATAAGCTGATTGTTCCTCCAAAACCCAAGGCACCACCAGAATTTTGTATTCATTTCAACGGTAAAATGTTTTGTCCAACACCCATCATCTTCCATCATCACCCATATGTCAATCGTTAGATTAGAATAATCATAACATATCAGAGCAAGAGAGTTATTGTAGGATAGAAGACGGGGTGGGGAGTAGTAATGTTTTGAAGTTGGAATATCCACTGGTATATCATGAAACAATTCATTGCCCATGTCAAATGAAAGGATGGAATAACTATCTTCACAATTCTGAGTTGCAAGCCAGTGATAAACCCCATTAATGCATGTGTTAGACAGAGGGGTGTCAATGCCATGATAAGGCAGAGCAACATGATCAAGATATCTCCATGAATCAGTAGATAAGGTATACACAGCAACCTGAAAAGGACCAAACCGATATGGAGCATCCTCCTTCGTAGTGTTCCAAATCCAAACCACCTTGTAATCATTAGTAATGGGATCCAAACCAAATCCAAATGTTTCAGTCCAAGTCTTCACATTAGGTGGATGGTTACGAGGCAGTACGGGGAGGGACCTAAATTCTCTGATTGCGGGATTCCACAAAGCAAAGCGATTGGAACGATGGCAATTGGTACACAGGCACAATATGCCATTGTAGGGACTGGCAACAACCACTACACAGTTGGGAATATCCAACACCACCACCACATCCTCATACGTACAGGCAAGTGTTTCATCAGGGAACAATGAGAAATAAATATTCACCTTGTTACGACGACTAATGAAAAGACGGCCACTGTTGTTGTTGTTGGTGTGATGGTTGTTCAAGTGCTTAGTAACCAAACTAGGGTTTTTGATGATAGAGTACCAATTTTTGCATACGGCTCCGGCCCTAATCACTGATTTCACCGGCAGCCTTGAGAGAATCTCAATCATCACATCCTCAGGAAGAAATATTTTATTACAACTCGCCATTTACCCATCTACCCCTCCCTATATTACTTGAAAATCAAAACCTTAAATCAATTTAAATAAAAATACTGAGAAAAATATAATAAAACTATATGCAAACAAAAACAGGAAATTGATTAAGGAGGACGATGGAAACTCACAGGATTCCTTTGGTACTAGGAATATTGAATCATCCGTTTGCCAGCTACTAATTAAGAACACCAACCAACTCCATCTCTGTTTTTCTTTCTTTTTTCTCTAGATTAATCTACGCAATGGTATGGTATGGTATGGGGTTGGTGGTGCAAAATCTCTGAAACTCAATTACTCTATCTCGGCGCAAACAAGAAGGCGATGAGAAGATTGCACAGATGAATTATTTGAGGGGCAAGTTAGTTGCCTTTCTTGAGTGATACTGCCACCATATATATAAAAGAAAAACCCTAGAATATTCTCGTCTTTTGGGGGTCTGGACTTTATCTGGCCTGGTGGGCCTTTTTAAAAGTCTTGCAAATGGGCTGGGTAAAGTTGGGGCTATCATCCTTCCGGGATTAGGGCCCATCGCCATCGCACCGCTGTTCTGAAGATAGGATGGACAACTTGAGTCGTGACTTGAAATTTATAGAATTAGAGTAAAAATAAATTTATGTTCGAGTAAAAAATCTCTTGAGTCACGTACTTGGATAGGGAATACAAATATAAAATGTCAGTCGATTTAATTGTTGATTCATAGTGCTTGGTTCAGTCAATATATATATATCAGGGTAAATTATGGAAGAGCAAAAACTAGTAACAAAATGAATTTTTTTTTTTTTTTGAATAAATCAAGATAAGCTTGATGTGGCAAGATGAAGCTGGGGCTGCCATCCAATGGCTATGCGTTGTTGAAAACCACGTTTCAGAGGAAATTTCTGAGCACCCATGTCATAAAAATTCTCAAACAAGTTTTCCTTGTGATATTAACAGGACGAATAGTAGATAAAATGGCCTTATTCTTAAACCCTCTAAATATTTAATTTGATCTCCTTTTAAAATAAGAAATCATATCGATTTTTTTTCTAAATTAAATACAATTTTTTTTTCTTAATTAAATACAATTTTACAATTGTGTTGAAGTTCTGAATTAATATCTTGTTACGTCTTTTTGAATTAAACGTCCACTCTAGCACGTACAATTTATCAATGGCTTTACTTATTTTATACTATTATCCTATGAGAATTGAGGTTTAATTATCTTATGAGAATTGAGGTTTTAAAAAAATAATATGGATCCTTTACCAAATTACTCTGAGACTTTAAACATAATTTAAGGAGTTTGAGACTACAAAACAATAAATTGAATTAATCTAAACCACAAAAGAATAATAGAATAAGCCTTGAATACTTGTTCTATACTTATCTACCTGCAGAAGAAATACAATTTGTGAATAATACTGATTAGAAGCAACAAAATTAAAAAGGAATATTTGTTCGGTTATGTTTCTATGTATTTATGAAAACAAATAATATGAAACCAAAAGGAACATGAAACAATTCGATTGACAACGTCTTTGGATTGTTCTATCAAAGAGATCGCATACAATCATTTAATGGGTTGTATATGATAGGAATGTAAACAAATTGAAAGTGACCAATCATATCAAGAACAAGAACTTTACTATTGTTTGAAAATAATATGATCTTGATTGTTTTAAGCAGATAAATAGAACTAATCTGAACTGATCGGAGAATCAGAAACTTGTCGGGATGAAGAGATGACCGGAAGGCTAGCTAGAGTCCAGTAATCGATCTGATGTTGTTGATAACTGTGTTCTTTGCTTATTTTATTTTAGTTAGACTTTGCTTATGGTATTATAGTATTTTATATTAGTTGGACTTTGCTTATTAGTATCTTTATTTTTTTTAGTTCCACTTTGTTTATTGAAATTTTATTTAAATTATCTTAATAAATTAAGGATAAAGTGCAAAAAAAAATCCCTTCAACTGTTGCCCTTTCGCAAATAACCCCTGAACTAAAACATATCCCCTTAATATTAATTTGTTTTAATTAAGGACAAACTCATCACAAAAGACTACTTTGTCATTTCTCATTAAAATTTTTATTTTTTATTAAATTATTTTTATTATTTTTTCTCTTATCTAAATATTAATTATACTATTTACCTTAATTTTATTTTAAGTATCAATTTATCATAAAAAAATGAAAAATATATATATAAATAGAATTGTAACTACCATTTTCTAAAATGATTAACTTATTATTAAAATTTGATTATTTATAATAAAACTTATAATAATCAGTTTAACTTTTTTGTTTTTACCGTAGAAGAATATATATTTTTTCATATAATATATTGATGAAACTTTAATAAATTATCAATGACTCTACTTACTCTATATTATCTTATGAGGATTTGAGGTCTAAATATCAATAGAATTGATTTGCGGATGTGAATGGCTTTGAAGAGAAAGGTCAACCGTTAATTTGTTTTCATCACTCTACAAGTCCTATGTAGAGAAGTCAGAAGTTTTGTCAAATTTAGTTAAAATTAGCATATTCATATAATAATGAAGTTGTTAATATGGATTAAAGTGGGTACAATAATTTATTTTTTATAATACAATCTGAAGTAAAAAGAGAGGAGGGAAAAAATATGAATAGAATTGATTTGTAGATGTGGATGGTTTTGAAGAGAAAGGTGAACCGTTGATTTGTTTTTATCACTTTACAAGTCCTGTGGTAGAGAAGTCAGAAGAAGTTTCATCAAATTTAGTTAAAACTAGCATATTGATATAATAATGAAGTTGTTAATATTAAAGTTGTTAATATGGATTAAAATGGGTATAGTTTATTTGTTGGTCCAGCCTGTCTTTTATTCTATTGACAAAAATATCATATCTACTTAACAGTATTGGCCTGTCTATATATATATATATATAGACAGACGTGAGGAGTAGAGTGAGAAGAAAGAGCAAAAAAAAATTAATAATAATACTGATAATGAATTTTTTTTTTTTTCTTTTCGGAAATTAATAATGATCCTTCTTTCTTCTTCTTTTTTCGGAAATTAATAATGATCTTTCATTGTCAAGAATATCATTTGTACAAATATTAATGGTAATTACGTAATGCTGGGTCAATGTAATGAGAACAAGAGTAATGATTTTTTTTTTTTTTTTTTTTTTTGTTTATTTCCACTTGCCATCTTTAACAGCATACACAATCAATAAATTGTATCATTAATCCAAGTGTTAGAATTAAAAAGACGTGGTGACTTGGATATTAGTTAACATGGATTGTCAACTGCCCTAGTCCTCCTTTATAAGCCATTTTATACATTGCATATGGCATTGTGTGTGTGAGTAGTCTGATTCGGTCTATGTCAAATTCAATTAATTATATGAAATTAGTTTGGAAGTTTAATATCATATGTATTTGACCTAGAGAACACCAAAGGAGTGAATATGTGTTATAACTAAAGAATGAAAATCAAAACAACTTATTCACATGTCCTGACGGTCAATGTCTCTGTAGGGTTTGTTTGTTGAGCGTCCATGGTTCTTGATGACTGTGACATTGAGCAGCAATCAGCATGCAATGGCCAAGGGGCCACAAAGTCTAGAACATGGGTTGGCCCCACCATTTCCCCCATATACTACTAATATATATGTGATACACTGAGAAAATTAAAATATATTTGTAGGAAATTCTGTCAACACAAGAAGGCTATTGTTGTTGGTGTGGTTGTTGAAGTGCTTGGTAATAAAACTAGGGTCTTTGATGATTGTGTACCAATTTTTGCATACTGCTGTAGCCCTAATCAGCAACAGCTGATCAATTTCATTACAACTTCCCACTTTTCTTGAATAAAATGAGAAATTTTCATTTTTTTTTTCTTTCCACTTGACATCTTTAACAACATACACAATTAATCAATTGTATTATTAATCGGAGTGTTAGAATTGAAAAGAGGTCGTGACAGAAATGCATAAAAAGGCTCTCATACATACTATAAAATATGGAATTGAAGGCAGTTAATAAGCAATAACACTAGCCATGCATATATGCAGCCAAATAAAGATAGTGTATAAGCAACCACATTATTTATTTTATATATTAATATTTTAAAGCAAAGGTCCACATACAGTACCCATAATAGGAAAGGAAAGCTCGCACTATATGAAAATTAACCACATATACATGTGTGTGTGCGCGTGCGCTGCACCCAAACGAACACAAGAAACAGACACAGTAATAGTATCAATGTCACCTTACCACTTCGAAAATATGATCATTCTTTGTCGGGCTACTCCCCCGCAACCCTTAGTACCATAATTTCCTGAAAAGGAGATATAATTTGTTCCGGTAGAATCGAGACAAATATATATCTCATACAGAAAAGTGTTCATGTTGTTGTCAACGCGGCATGAAATGTAAGGCCTTATGTTACCGATAGATTGGCTTACCGCATTCTCAATCTGTGTTTTTGAGTAATATAAGTTGTTGTTTGGGGTTATGTTAACAACTGCGAGAATGGCCAGAAGGTTGATTCTGTCCTTGAGTGCAATCGCCACTTGAAAGTATTACTTGGTGTTAAATTTTGAAAGTGAACATATGCGAACATATGCCATGTTTTTCACTCGTGATACCAGAAATCACTGTTTTTATAGTTAAGAATCACTGAGGGCCAAACTCGTTCGAGATCGGGGAGCACGAATTGAGTCTGTGCAAACATGCAAACTACTGGAATTAGTTTTTTTTTTTTAAAAAAAACATTAATTTCAAGGAAAAACTTACCGCAATGACGAAGTTGGATATACCAAAAATGCAATTTGTCTCACTGATTCCATTGGGATCTGCAGGCCAAAGCCCATGAAGTGTGAAGTTTGGTGGGAGTGAGTTTATGCATGTGAGGCCTTGAGTGAGACAAAAGGACTTGGACCATTGATGGACAAGCTGAAAATGATCATAGCAAGAGCCCAAGTTGATGAGAAGGAAAACAGTAAGAAAAGTGATTAGAGAATTCTTCATTTTTGTGTGAGATCCAAATGAGAAGAAATGTGTTGTGTTGATCGCAATTTATAGTTTCAAAGATGTCAAGTGGAAAGAAAAAAAAATTAAAAATTTACTTTTGTTCTCATTACATTGACCTTGCATTACTTGTAATTACCATTAATATTTGTACCCATTATATTCTTGACAATCAAAGATCATTATTAATTTTCGGAGAGAGAGAGAGATCATTATCACTATTATTATTAATTTTTTTTGCTCTTTCTTCTCACTCTAGTACTACTCATGTCTATCTATATATAGATGGACGAGATAGACATGATATTTTTGTCAATAAAATAAAAAACAGATTGGATCAACAAATAAAATGTACCCATTTTAATCTATA